GGCACCTGTTTCTCAGCTGTTGTTACCTTGCTGAGACTCTGAAGTGGAACTGCACCAGGGCAAGGTCTGTCCCGCACTATAATACAGTATTTAAATAGAATCATAGAAGCATAAAACACTTTGTGTTGGAATTGACCTTTAAGACCACTTTGTTCCACCTCAGCCACGGCAGGGCCAGCTCCCAGTGTCCCAGGAGCTCCCAGCCCCAATGTCCAGCCTGGCCTTGGGCACTGCCAGGGATCCAGGGGCAGCCCCAGCTGCTCTGGGCACCCTGTGCCAGGGCCTGCCCACCCTGCCAGGGAAGAATTTCTTTTTAACATCTAATCTAAATCTCTCTTCCTTCAGTTTAAAACCATTCTCCCTTGTCCTATCAGTATTTTCTGTGCTTCTGTCCTTATCAGTATAAAAAAAGGTAGAGCTGAACCATTTCTGTACTTCTGTGCTTTTTTCTGGTATTTCTATATTTTGCCTTGCTTTCATATTAAGCTTTAAGTCTTTTAACTATGCTTTAGTGTTCTGTGAAGATAATGTCTTTTGTTCTTCTTATTTTGGTCTGTAATCTTATAAACAGTATTTTAAATCAAGTAAGTTGTGTGGTGAAGATTGCAAAAATTCTGGTTTTCTCGTATTTAGCTATTTCAAATATCTCCAGCTGTTTCAGAAAGCATGTTTTGGATGAGTATCTAAACACAGAAGTGCATTAGAAAAATGAGATCTCAATTTCTTTAAACTGATTTTGCTATTTGCTTAGGTCTTCAGAAAATAACTTGCTCTTAATTAACAAAGATGTATTAGTTGCAGTGTTCAAGGACAGGTCAGACAGGACTTTAAGCAACCTGAATTGTGGAAGGTGTCCCTGCCCATGGCAGCTGACTGGAACTTGATGGTATGTAAGTCCCCTTCCTACCCAAACCATGCAGTGATTTAATATTTTCTGGATGATATTCATATCACTTGGGCTGTCTTCTGTTAGCAAGACTGTGGATGATATTTCTTCTCAGAGGCGCACCTCTTCTGTGCTTAACTCTTTTCATAGGTTTTTCATAGGTTTCATAGACTTTTCATAGGTTGTTCAGACTTTGGTTAGCCACAGAAAATTTTTGCTTGTGTTTGATACCAAGATTGTGTCCAAGGCAGGCCAGCTTCTTTAGCAGCATGTCCAGCTTTTGTTGTGAAATCACAGGTCAGTTTTTCTGGGCAAGGTTTGAACAGAAGGTGTTCAGACTGAGAAAGGATTGCATTTTCCCTGCTAAGAAAATGCTTATCTGTAAGTTTGGAACCAGGGAGGATGTTGTTCAGACCTGTCCCCAACATGACAAGACTTCCAGCTTCAGGTTGCAGGTGGGATTGCTTTCCAAGCTGTGTGCATCTGTGGGAAACTGAGTCAGTGTTCTGAGCTGGGTGGGATGCCTGGGAGGGACTTGAATCAGATGGTAGGGTGGCTGTTGAAACAGGTGTGGCATATGCTGGAGCCCTAGTGCTGGAGGAGCAGCATGTGCATGCTCCCACAGGCACTGTGACAGGTCTCAATGCATTACATTTTGATGCATTTCATCAGAAGTAGTTCAGGGAATTGTGGGCTAATGGTGTCATCCCAAATGCACAATCTTATAGAGATAAAGGATGAAATGTTTGTTTGGGAAGAATGTAATCTTTTGTACTAAAGAGAGTGCTATATCTGTGCTCTTCACTCGATTTTCAGGAAAGATGCCATTGAACTAGGAACTAATTGTTTTGCAGAATAGGTAGGTATACATGTAGTGGTATTGTCAATAAAACATGTGGATGCAACCCTATGTGGATGCACTGATTATATGAAAAATGTTTTTACCACTCCCTGGAGCCTACTTATAATTAAAATTGTTTCAAGCCTTCCAAAAGTATTTTAATTATCAAAGATATTCTAATTTAACAAGGGATAATGCTAATGGTATTATTTATATAATGTCTAACAGCCAAACACATCCTGAAGACCTTCACAAACTCCTGTATGTCATGTGCAGTGTACAGGAAGTCCTTTAGTTCTACAGTGGAGTCCACAACTCACTGGCAATTAGTTTGAATTTGGGAGACACATTGCAAAAGTACAAGCAATTCCTTTGCTCCTAGGATGCAGAGTGCAGGTGATTACAGTGAGGGAGGTGTCGCCTTTTGTGCAGGGTTGCCCATCTTAGTGATCCCAGTTCTGTCTGACTCCTGCACAGGTCACTCCTTGGCACTAATGCTGCATGCATTATTCCTCATCCCAGGACAGCCTGACTGCACTGGAAAGTGTCTTGGAGACTGATCCCATCTCACATCCCCAGGACAGCATGTGGAGATGTTGGCAAACAGGGATGTACAAATGGTGTGAGTTGGCAGCCCATTCTGGCTGCCAACATACACTGTGCATCCAGCAACATATCAAATGCTGACCTTGAGACCAAAGCACTCAGAGACCCACTACCATCTCTGCGTGATTTCATGTTTTCCTTGCAGAGAGAAATAGCCTCCTCTTCCTGGAGCTTTGGTTGCAGTGCCTTAGGGTCATCCCCTGCCTCACTGCCCCTTGGACAAAAGGCAGCTGGGAGAGATGCATGGATGTGATGGCAAGAGTCACACGATGGTGCCTTTATTCCTAGACTTCACACTCTGGTATCTGCTGTGGGAGACCCTTCCCAGCACCACGCTGCCACAGTGCCTGTCCCTGGCTCAGGCTGCTGCCCCAGTATTTCCTTTCATTGGCCTCCTCTTCTCCAAGGTGTCCACTCCCAGAAATCTGGAGCTGCACTCCGTAATAAAAGTGCTGCTGGTGAAAGGTGGGACTGCTATTCCATTTTCAAACACAAGGGTATCTCATTATGTGATCTCATTATTGTGCACCAATCTCTGGGTGCACAAACAGTGCAGAGTGCACAGACTGTACTGGCATCACCAAGAACATGTTGCAGGTTATGCCTGTCTTGTGTCATTTCACTCCCTCTTGTCCTCACCTTTATCCCAAAACTGCATAAAGCTTTAACTTTGAAGTCAAATTGTGAATAACAGCTCAAACTGAAATTTAAAGCCAGCATTTCCATGCTCCAGAGATAGGGTCTCCCTGGCCCTAGCTGTACCATACAGCTACCAACCACAATTTTAATTCTATGAGCCATGGTTGACTGAACTCAGCACAGGGGTCTATTTGATATTATTTGATTTAGAATAGTCAAAAACCCCAAAACAAAACAAAATAAACAAACAAAAACACTCCCCGCCCCCCCAAACTATTTAAAGATACACTGCTTTCTTGTATCCTTCTGTACCTTTTCACACTTAGACATCCTGTTCAGATGTTCATCCTACTTCAGGTTCAGGGGTTTTTTTCCCTTACTGTGTGGAATAAACTGATCCTTGTACTTTACAAAAGCCATCATCATCTATCCTTGGTAAAATTGCATGACTTTATCTAAGGAGAGTATATATAAAGTTGTTGTCACTGAAATTGCTGATCTCAAATTGAGGAAGAAGTTTCCTGCATTAACTCCTAACATCAAATATCCGTTCAGTATAGGGAAAGTTCTGCTTAAATTCAGCATTATCAACTGAGGTTGAATGAGGTATTTCTGTGTTGGTCCCCCAGTCTGAGAACTCTGCCTTAAAGAAGCCCAGATTTCTGCACAGACAGCATTTTCTGCAAAATCCATCTATGCTGAAGGATGATCTTAAATCAATAGTCTTTTGTGAAAAACCTTGTCCACCAAACATCACTTGTATTACTGATGGCCAGCATGTGCTTGTGGACACAACTGATGTCTACAGAAACAGGCTGGTTTTGTGCAGATCACCTCTATCAGATCACCTATTTACAATCAAAAAACTTGATGCAGTGTCTGCCAGAGGAGGTCTAAGGTGATGTTAATCCTCTGCAGACTTCTTGGCCTGTAAGCAACTGCAGCAGACATGGAAATCTTGCTGCTAAGGATGCATTTGAATTCTGCTCCTCAGAACTATTCTGGCAGCTAGATGCTATTTTTGAAACATTTCCTCCCTCTGTCTAGTTCGATGTTGCCATCTGGAGAAAAAATCTGATATTTACTGTTGTTCTTGGAGTTCCACCTCCTGGAGTTCTGGGAATACTGCAGATCTCAGTTTTTAGCGCATAAAAGATGTATTTCCAGCACTGACAGGTGAAGTAAAAGTAGGAAACCACTGTGAATCTGCAAAAAGCAAATCGAAACAAGTCCCTGCATTGCAAGAGTCTTTTCAGACTGCCAGTCAAACATTTTTCAAACTTGTCTCATGGCTTTTCATCCATAGTCAGTCACTTATAACTCCTGCTAAAAATCTCTGCCAAAGGAGAGAAGGAGGAAAATGTGCTTTGGAGCCCAGGTTTGAGTCCTGCCAGTAAGATGGAGAAATACAAAGTGAATTGGAGGGTCAGGAGTGCATCTTGGACTGGGCCTTGCTGAGGGTGTTGCAGTGGTAATTCAGTCCAGGGATTCCCCACCTTAGTACAACACAGGCTGACTAGTGCTTTGGGCTTGCCTGGCCAGTGCTATTGGTAGTGTTTCACAGACAGTCCATGCCAGAGCTTAGAGTTCAGCATGGGATGGAGTTGAGCAGGACTTGGAGGTAGCACAGGAAGGGGACAGAGTGTGTGGGTGGTGACTGGGCAAAGCATTTTGCTGGAGTTGACCCAAGTTGACTCTGACTGTCATCAGGCCATCTACTTATCCTGTGTTCTCCTGTATACAGACCATGAACCAGACAGCTTCCCAGGGGGCACAGTAAAAGTGATGCAGGCAAAAATGTGACTATTGTCCTGTATCCTGCCTTTAAATTATGTGTGAAGTTATTGGTGGGTTAAAGTTGCTTATAATGCAAGACTGTACAGTGTGTTTTCTAGCAAACTGTAACCGCACAAAAAGTCTTCATGACTTCAGGTATTGGTACCTACATCTGTTCAAGAGAAAAGACACTCTACTATAGGCCACATCATGAAACTACTCATTTTTCCTCTTCTCTCTCCTCTTTGAAAGGTATTCAGGAATCTCCAGTACCAAATGGCCATTCTCTCCCAAGCAGAGATTTTCTTCGGAAACAGATGCGAGGAGACCTTTTCACCCAGCAGCAGCTAGAAGTGTTGGATCGTGTTTTTGAGAGACAACATTATTCTGACATCTTCACGACAACTGAGCCCATCAAACCAGAGCAGGTACTATTGTAGATATTTTATGTTTTGCTGGTATGCTTTCCACTGGCAGAGATCTGTTTGGTGGACATCATCAAAGGCTTTTCAGAGTTTCAGTAGACAAATATGGAGACAGATGTCTTGTCAAGCTCATTTCAGCCAAGTCCACATTAGCCATTAAAGCCTTTTAAAAATGAAGGAAAACACTCATTGTGCAAAAATTAGCAAATGTTTGGCTATGAAATTACACCCGATCCAGACCAGTTGCATCAAATTAATCTTTAAAGAGCACCACAGCTTCTGATGTTTTTGTTAGATCAAAAGAAGGCAGTGCAGGTAACATGGAGAAGACCTGCAAAACCCAGTGCCTAATTTTGGTTCACAGTGAGCATGACTGTGGGCACAAATCAGATTTTTGTATCTGGAAATGGCTTATTAGACATGTAACTGGCCATTTGCTGAGAGAAACACCCGAATAGCATGTGAAGGCAAATTAATTCCACCTATGGATCTACAGTGTTTGAGGACTTGGCGCTAGTATTTTGGAAAAAATTCAATTTCTGCAAGCATAGTATAGAAGTATGTGAAAAAACTGATGAGCTATGTCTCTCTTTTGAGCTACGTTCTTCTTCTTGGGTGGCAGTATTTAATTTAGCTGCTGAGAAGGAGGTAGAAATTAATATATTGCTGTCAGCACCGATATTGGTCTAGCTTGCTACTTAATGATGTATTCCGCCATTAATCTTCAGTGTTCTTAATATCAGACATGCTTTTTAGCAAGGTGGATGGACTTTCCTAACACTGATTCCCCTTGGAGTAATCTATACATTTGAGGGCCATTGGAGATTGTCTTATGGTAGCCTACTACCATTGTGGCTTTTCTTCTTCTTTTTTTCTTTTTAAATTACTTATGCTGAAAATACTATGGTAGAGTAAGGATTCCTCATTCCTTTAAGATCATCTGTCATTTGCTATTTCATTCATAGGGACATTTTCTTTTCAGCACCTTCTGCTGGTTTTGTGTTTTTTTCTGATTTGTGTGTGCTGTGAAACTGCAGATACGAACTTGAGCTGGGAAGAGATAGGAAGTCACGCCATCGGTGTCTCTGGAAGGTGAAGTGGCCTTCACATACCACTAGATGGTGATTATCCCATCCAAACACGGTGGATGCTGGAGAGGGCAGGCACCCTGCCCAAGGCTATGGCAAGCCTTTTCAGCGTTGGTCACCTAGGAATTGTGTCTTGTTAGATTTGTTCCTGCAAAAACTTTACAGGCCAAAATAGTCATTGCAAAGGGAGCAGTGATGGGAGGGGACTTTTTATTTGTTTTTGTGTTCTGGAGCCTCTTAGTCATGGCCAGCTGTAGCTCATGGGAGACAGTCCAGCAGTGAGTGAACATTTATTCAGAGATAAACTTCTACTGCTTTTATAGGAAGAATGAGGGATTTGAATAAGGATATTGCTGAATTGTTATCCCAATTATCAAATATGGGATATTTAGCTCTTGATGGAGAAAGGATCTCCCAGGGCCACATAAGGAGTTGTGACTAGAATGGCTCTAAGCAGAAAGATTGTTAAAGTTGGAGACATGCTGCTATTAATCTGATGAACAAGATACTCCTTGCATGCTCTGGGAAGTCATGTAAGATGCTGAGAAATCTGGCATTATGAGGTGCAAAATGTACTGTGCAGAACCACATTGCCCGGTATTTTCACATGTAATTACAAAAGAAATTTGCAGTTGTTCGTTTTCATATAGCTTGGAGTATGGTGCTTGCTTTTGGAAGGCTGGACCATGGTGAAGGGCTTGCAAATATTTGGGGTCAGCTTCTGCTTTCTGATGGTATGTGAAGGGTAACTTTCAACATGCCCAGATGTGATCTGTATGACTTGTAGTTCACAAAGATGCTGTATGAATCCCAGCCTTACAGAAACAGTCTTGTCTCACTCCCTTGGTGAGTCAAGCAAAGCTGTCATGATGCTTATCTGAAGTGGAAAAGCTGTCTGCATCAATTAGTAGGGCCAAAGAAATCAATGAGAAATCAAATACTGAGAATATTAATGACGTGCTCTGAAAACCAGAGTTATCCCTGGATTGGATTGCTGTAGTAAAGCAAGATCTGCCCATGACATTTGTCTGTCCAAAGTGGTGGTGGACCCCACAGTGGTGCTTTAGAAGCTAAGTCAGTGGTGGATGTATGGAGCTTTAAGCTCTTTCTGTACAGGAAAATATTGAAAATATACTCCTCCCCATGGAGACAGGATGTGGAAAGAGGACTTGTATGAGCTGCTCACTCACTGTTTATCCATTTTATTAGAAATTTGATCCAACAGCAGCCAGCTGAACATCACTAATTTTGCTTCGGCACAAAAACTTACTGATGTGCCAGTACTGTTCATCTGAGGAAGGCTCCAGGTATTTTAATGGAATAGTTATTACTCTATAGACACTGTAGATCCCTCTTCCTTCCTGTTTTGTGGCTTCTCTCTAAGTCTTTGTCCTCACTTGTGTCTGGGGGCAGGCCCTTGGCAATGGTGAGGTGGAAAGAAGTCGCTCTGCACAGCACAGTATTTGCAGCCTCATCATACTTTGTTTCCAGATGCTGCCCAAAGTCCTCCTGGTGCATTTTCTGTACAAAATTTGTCCTTACCTTTATGAGTCCATTGCCCTTCATGTAGGTAGGGAGGTTGATGGGCTGTGTGGGGAGTGTCACTGGGGTGTTGCAGGGTTACTGTGTAACTCTTTGCTTTGAGTACTTCAAATACACTTCCATTTCCCATCTTGATGTTTCCCTCAGTTAACCTGTATAAAATGGAGGCTCTTGGGTTATTTATCATCTTCTGACATGGTTAGAGCAGGATGCTAGTAACACCATGACTGTGGGTTCAATTCCTTACTTAAGAGTTGGAGTCAATAGTCCTTGTGGGTACCTTCCAACTCAGAATATTCTTTGAATCTCTGAATCTATACTGTTGACAATTGTAATGACTGTTGTAATCTGTACTATTGACAATAGTCATACCAACTTTCACATCTACTGTAAGTTGTGGCATTTATGAAGAGAATGATGAGGAATGGATACTTGTCTTTGGGGAAGGGCTCATACCATGTTGAGAGAGAAGGCAACCACTGGACAGTGACAGGGAGATAAAACATCAGACAATCCTTTGAGAGAAACAGTGATGATTGTGTGTGCTGGGTGGGGCAGGGATCCTGCTGTGTACACCTACCATTAAAGACTGTCAGACGTTGTGCATCAAGGGGCAGAATTAAGGTGTCAGCTGTTACTTGCCTTGTTTTGCAGCCTAGCACCCAGTGGTGCAGCTGGGCTCATGTACATGTGTGCTCCACAGATGTGTTTCCTGCACATGTGGAGCATGAAAAACATCCAGTGGCAGAGGGAGCCAGGGGTTATCTGTGCAAACAGCATCAAGTCCTTTCATGTATATATGTTGTGGGGAGGAGCTGTGACGTAAAATCAGTACTCAGAGCACTCTGGCCCACCTCTGCCTGACAGAGTCCTGCTATAAAAATGAACTCTTCTATTAAGAGAACTCATAACAATGAAGGCCTTTCTCTCATGTTTGTGCCCTTTTGTGCTCATTTTCTGCAAACATCCCATGATTAATTTACATCAGTTGCAAATATTAATGGAAAACTTATTGAAAATGTTCACTTACTTTTGAGCATTGGTATGGAAATGCACATAGTGGTATGTTTGCAACAGCAATGTTGCACTGCCATTTTGTACGTGGCTGCTATGTACCAGCTCTGTGTGTCTCGTCTATCTGCAGGGACAGCGCCTGCAACCATGTAATGCCAGACCTTGGAATTATCAGACCTTGGAAAAGGAAATCCTTCACAGCAGCTTCCATTCTCTCTGTGCTCAGTATGTGTGTGTGGGTGGGCTCTGCTGCTCCCCAGTGTGTTGGATCTGCGGTGAAGCCTCCCTGCCCACAGGGAAGGCTGTTGCTGTTGCCAACCCAGATCCCCTTGGAACAAAACAAACTGACATAAGGAGAAGCTTTTACCTGTCTGCCTGCCCTGGAACTGTGTTGTGCACCTGTAACAGTGTCAGACCAGCATATTTCAGTCTGGCCTTCGCTGCAGGCAACCCCCCATTAGTCATGGTCACTGCAGTGACAATGCAGAGTTTATCCAGAGCTGGTGCTCATCCTATGCAGAGAGCTGCAACACTGAGTGGCAAAATTTTCCAGTGCCTATTGTCCATTAAGACCTGGAGGAACTGGAAGCATCAGCTGTACTCAGCAAAATCCTCTGTGTGGCTGTGAGGATGATTGTCCTCCAATAGCTTCCTGCCAGAAGGAAGGAGGAGCTCTCCACAGCATCTTTGGGAAGTTGTCCCAGTCTAGCCAAGCCTGTGCCATCTGTTTTGTGAGCTGCTGACTCAAGCAATTCTCTAGTCAAAGCATTGACAAAGACAGGAGATGTTCTTGGAGAAAAAGACCCAGGAAAGTCAAGGAGACCTGGGGACTTTAGGTATTTGAGACTGGACAACTGCAGGAATGTCCCATTGAAGCAGGCAGGGGACAAACCTGGTGCTTGTGGACTAATGTGCTCGTGGAGGCTGTGAGAGTGGGATTAATGCATCTATGGCTGAAAAATGCAGGGTGAAGGATATACAGCTGGATTGGCTCAATGTGAGACACAGTGCGTTAATTTTCTTAGAATAAAGAAAGGAATTATCCATGCTGGATTTCTGTCCACAACAGAAATGGATTCTTTTGTACTTTCAGTTTCACACATGGGTCCAATCGAATACTCATTGAAGCCAAGAGGAATATTTCTATTGACTTCAATAAACTTTAGATCAGGGCCATAATGAGGCATAACATGATGTGAGCAGATTCAATGCTATGTAGGTCACCAGCTTAGAAGATAACAGCTTGCTGCTAATAGCACATAATTCCTAGGCCTGGGCTGGTGCTTTCCCACTGCTTTAAGCTAGACCTAAACAGAATATCTGCTCTCAGAGTGATTTCTGGATAAAATATAGATATTC